GTTTCTCTCTCTCTCTCTCTCTCTCTCTCTCTCTCTCTCTCTCTCTCTCAATCTTTCTCTCTCTCAATCTTTCTCTCTCTCTTTTTAGTTTTTTGAGACAGGGTTTCCTCCTGCCTTTGCCTCCCAAGTGCAGGGATTAAAGGCATGGGCCACCACCGCCCGGTTGGTTTTTTGGTTTTGTTTTGCTTTTTTAAGACAGGGTTTCTCTTGTGTAACAGTACCGGCTGTTCTGGAAATTGCTTTGTAGACCAGGCTGGCCTCAAACTCACAGAGATTAACCTGCCTCTGCCTCCCAAGTGCTCCCTTACGCTGCCCTTAGCATTTTTATTGCATTTATTTATTATTTAGGGGCAGTGCACATGCCATGGTATGTCTTTGGAGGTCAAGGGACAGCTTTTAGGAGTTGCCTCTCTCCTCCTTCTACCATGTGGGACAGGGGATCCAACCCAGGCTGACAGACTTGGAGGCAGGTGCTCTCACCCACTGAGCCTTCCTACTGCCTCATACCTAGCATTTGTACATGAATTTTGGAGACAGGGTACAATTTAGATTCTTATTTTATTTATTATTATTATTATTATTATTATGGTTTTTCGAGACAGGGTTTCTCTGTAGCTTTGGAGCCTGTCCTGGAACTAGCTCTTGTAGACCAGGCTGGCCTCTAACTCACAAAGATCTGCCTGCCTCTGTCTCCCGAGTGCTGGGATTAAAGGCGTGAGCCACCACCGCCCAGCTTACAATTTAGATTCTTGAACTTGCAAGGTAAGTCCTTTATGGGCTCACCTGCCACTCCAGCTCTTCCTTTGGCTTTTGTTTTTGTTTTAACACAGAATCTCACCCTAAAGCCTATGATGACCTGAAACTCACTACGTAGCTAGACTGGCCTCAAATTCATTACAATACTCCTGCTTCGGCCTCCCAAGTCTTGGGAACTACAAGCATGAGCCTTATTTTTTCTTAAAAAAAATAAGGATTGGAAGTTGCTGGGCGGTGGTGGTGTGCACCTTTGCACCTTTAATCCCAGCACTCGGGAGGCAGAGGCAGGCAGATCTCTGTAAGTTCGAGTCCAGCCTGGTCTATAAAGCAAGTCCCAGGACAGTCAGGTCTACACAGAGAAAAAACCCTGTCTCAGAAAACCAAAAGGAAAAAAAAATAGAAATCGTTCCCAAGAATGGGAAGTAGGGCCAAGGAGTGCCAAGAGACACAGCAGGTAAAGGCACCCGTTGCTGCGTCTGATGACCTGAATTTTCTCCCCAGGATACACATGGTAGGTGAGAAGCAGCACCCCAGTGTGTATCCATGCTCACACACACACACAAAAGAGAGTGGAAAGAGGCTAGTGAGTTGAAGGAATACCAGCCTCAAATTTGTATTTTGTGTGTGTTGTTTTGTTTTGGTGTTGGTTTTTTGAGACAGGGTTTCTCTGTGTAACAGCCCTGGCTGTCCTGGAACTCTCTTTGTAAACCAGATTGACCTCAAACACATAGAGATCCACCTGCCCCGCCTCCCTCGTGCTGGACTTAAAAAGCACATGCAGCCATACCTGGCTAGAGCCTCCTGCTCCTGCCTTCATCTCCCAAATATTGGAGATTACAGGTATGTATGTGGCCACTTTTTCTGGTGTGTGCGTGTGTGTGTGTGTGTGTGTGTGTGTGTACAGGTGTGTGCATGTGGAGGTCAGAGGACACTCTCAGGTGTCATTGCTCAGAAACTGTCTACCTTTTATAGTTTCTTTCTTCTGAGACAGGTTTTCCTCACTGTCTGGAATCAGTCTACAAAGTAGGTTCAAGCAAGGCCAGGGATCTACAGTGTTGCCTCCCCAACACTGGGATTACAAGCATGTACCGCTACATCTAGCCTTTTTATGTGGGTTCTGAGGGCTTGAACTCAGGTCCTGATACTCCAAAGGCAATTTCTTTATCAACCGAGTTATTTTTCCCTGCCCCATGGTTTCTGGTTGCTACCTATCCAGCCTGCAACTTCATCCCCAACTTTGCTTCCTTGGTCCCATGAGTTTAGACCCTCCCTTCAGACCCAGCATTCTAGGAACCCAGCTCCTTTTCCTGTCCACCCCACCCCTCAAGCTTTGGGCAATGGGTCCTCTGTTCTCTGTGGAATCAGGACAGTGGTCTCCAATCCCGCCTCATTGAATCCCACCTGAAGGCGCCAGGTGGAGGCCGGCGCTCCGTCTAGGGGCGTGTCCAGGGGGGGCATGTTCGTGGCCCTGGGTGCCCAAGATACGGTAGGTTCATGAAGCAAGTTGATGAGGCGAATCCAGCGGTCAAACAGGAAGCCTAGCTCATGATCAGGGGCATCCAGTTCCAGGTAGTAGTAGCGGCCGGTGATCAGACGAAGCTTCAGGCGCCAGGAGGGCAGATCGTGGACATAGAGGTGGGCAAGGTCTAGTGGGATCATCCTGCGGGAGGTGGGAGACCTCCCGGGTAGCTAGTGCCAAGGTAATGTGTAGAGTGGACTAGCTGGGGGTAGAGCTCAAGTAACGAGGAGAAACATACCTGGTCAGGTTGAGATTGGAGCAATCCTTGCCCTCCTGGGGCCGAGCAAGCAAGAGAATGTCAGGCAGTACTAGACCAGGCAAGGATGCCGCTACACCCATAGTCAGCTTGTTGGTTCTGTGGTGCACGAATGCAGGAGCCCCATGATTGGTCACCTGGGGCAGCCAGGGAGCAGGGCTGGGACCAGTCCTCTCTCCAACATGCCTCCAGCATCCCCTCACCTGAGAGTCTCCTTTCTTTCCAAACCCACTTCCTACCTACAGAAGTTCAAATTCCAAATCCCCGTTCAAACCCACTTAGTCTGGGGGGTGGTCCCCTCTCTCTTCCTGTGTTTCAACCCTCCTCCCCCATTTCCCGGGGCGCAAGGAGCCGGGGACCTGGACAAAGTTACTCTCGAACATGGGCAGCGGGCGGAGGGGCAGGTACTCGCCCTTCTGGAGGGTCTTCTGCAGCTCCCCAAGAATGGGAACCCACTTCTGGGGGTCCTGGGGAGGCTGGGTTCGCCGAATGTTCAACAGCCGTTTCATGACGGCTGTCAGAACAGCAGGGGGAAGTGTATAGATTCAGGGACCCAGGACCCACCCCAGCCCACAAGCCTTGGACCCCTGGGCTTCAAGGATGTCAGGAGCTCGGCAGTGACAGAAAGTGGAGTGTCCCCAGGGCTGAGAGACTCTGGTATGGCCATGGCCCTGCAGAGAGGTAGTCAGCTCTAGGCCGTGGGAGGAACCTTTGATAGGGGCTTTGTGACCTCACTAGACAGCAAGAGTCTGCTTCCTGGGAACTGTCCAGAGGCCACATCCTTCCAGAATATGGAGTCTTCAAAGTTGGGATAGGCTGACTCCATCAGAGCATCCCCTCTCCTGGACCCAAAATAGTGGAGACACAGACACCCCATAGGGGTCTGTTAGTACCTATACAGGGACCATTAGCCCAAAGACTTGACTCACAGGCCAAGCTCTGCCAGTGTCCCTCCTCCTCAGCAAGACCCAGCGCCATGCTGAGCCTCAGTTTCCCAATGAGGTGTGTGTGTGTGTGTGTGTGTGTGTGTGTGTGTTTGCGTGATCTCACATCAACTGAACAGTGAACTGTAAAGAAAGGGCCAACATGACTGAGAATGGTGACTACAACTGTATTCCCAGCGCTAGGGATACAGAGTGAGGAAAATTATAAGTCTGAGGCCAGTCTAGGCTTTATAACAATACCCCGCCTCAAAATAAATGAATGAATGAATGAATAAAACCAAGGGCTTGGGGTTGTAGTTAAGTGGTAAAATACTTGTCTGGCATGCACAAGGCCCTGGGTTCAATCCCAGCACCACCACAACATAGGTCAACTACCTATGTGACCATAACAGCAACAAGCTGGGCATGGTGACACACATCTTTAATCCCAGCCTTCAGGAGGCAGAGGCAGGCAGATCTCTGTGAGGTCCATGTCAGCCAGAACCTCATGATAAGACTCAAAAACAAAATAAAACAAAATCCCTGCAGAAATCAATTCCTCCCATTGGAGCCTCAATTTCTCTCTTTTATAAAACAAGGCCTGTTGTGAGGATCTGGGACAATTGTCTAAGTTAAAAAAAAAAAATCCAGGCTCAGCATGGCCCAGAACATGAGCTCGAGTAACAATATTTCTTGTTCCATTCTGAGACCTTTTCTTCTTGTGGCACATGTCCGGTGGGGTGAGACAGAGAGTAATATTCTCTCATTCTAAAAATAGTGTTTATTATTGTTTTTAAACGTGTCATGCAAAATACAATCACAATAAAAACTCTGGAAAATACAAGCACAAAAAAATAAAAGTCACCCCGCAGTCCCATCTCGTGTGTTCAACCCTGAGACAGTCATTGTCAACGTTTTGGTGTTTCCATTTTGAAAAATAAATCCATACTTATGTATAGAAAGAGTGGTTCTACCATCTGCTGCTCTTCGGCCTTTGCCTGGACGTTTTATGGCTGGCTAGTTAGTATTCCATCACGTGGATGTATCTTTTCACTCATGCATCCCCCACTTGTGAACCTCGGTTGGTTCTCATTGGCCAGCATGAATGTCGCTGAAAACAACCTTGCACTTTGCATCTCTGTACCATGCAGGTGCTATTAGTTCGAAGGTGATGGTCTGGAAACTTCTGTTAAATATCTTTTGAGGAGCTTTGACGTGCTAGGCACCAGGTCAGACTCAGATCATTTTGGCTTTCCCCTGCTAATTACCTCTAAGTGGATATGTATTTAAATCACCTTTTCTTTGTATTTAAAACACCACCTTTTCTGTTTTACCAAAACTTCTCACATTTTGGTATAAAACCCAAGGCTTCCTCCCCCCTCTTAATATAAAAAGTAATTGTTTAATAAATAATGGAGGAAGCGAGGAAGACACTGTGAATAGATTTCATAGAGAGCCCAGAATCTAGGATCTCAGTTCCCTGTTCTTCAAGGTCTCAGATCCACCCACCCCCACCCACCCCGATTCCTTAAATAAATAAGTATAAATAAGCCACACAGGTGATCCCCCCCTCACCAAGGTCTCCTGGAAATGTATTTAGCTGGGTGTCAGCTTGTGTGGGGTGTGGCATGTCCCTGATCATCAGGCCCCCCACTCCAAGTAACAAAATAAATAAATAAATAAAAATGTGGCTTTAAAAGATGATATCGGTGGTGGCTTTCAGTCTTGAGTCACAGCCGAGTCTTTAGCAAGAGCAGACCTCGTACAGCCCAGTCCAAGGTCAGGTGTAAGCCTCCTAAGATGGCATGAGCTGCCCGAATGCTTCCCCAGGCTGAAGCAGGAGGACCCAAGGGGACTGTGGGTTGGTCTGGGGTTGCCTGGGGCAAAGCCAAGCGAGATGTCTGTCAAAGAAGGGGAAACAAAGTTAGCAAAAGGCAAGGGGTTATTGTCTAAGATCTCTTCAGGGTCTGGGGTTCAGAGAACTGAAGCTGGATTGGATGCAGTGGTTCACATCTGTAATTACAGCACTCCAGAGGTAGAGGTTCACGGCTACATAGAAAAAGCAGTTTGGGTTACAAGAAACCCTCCTCATTAAAAAAAGAAAAAAGAAAAGAAAAAAGGCAGAACATGATCAATTGAGGAAGATGACCAATGTTGATTTCTGCCTTCAGGCTTAAACACACACACACACACACACACACACACACACACACACACACACACCAAGGTTACTGTCCTAAAGGCTAAGTAGTTAGGAGATAGGGAATGAGGGCTGTGATCCTGATGCTTGCCAGGTCTTCTCAAGAGAGGTCAGGGCTAGAGTTTTAGAGCCTGGAGTTTAGGGACCATGTCTAAGGCCTGGGGCTAGGAGCAAAAATTTGAGATCTGGAACTGAAGAGATAGAGTTCAAGTCTCAGCAACCACAGGGTGGCTCAATCCATCTGTAATAAGATCTGGCTGCAGGCATACATGGAGACAGAATGAGGTCTACATAATAAATAAATAACAACTAAAAATGAAAAAAAAAGAATTTGAGATCTATGGGTCTTTGCGGTCAGGCAGTAAAGTTTGAAGTCTTCATTAGGTTTTAAAATTTAGAGTTTGACATTTTTTAACCTCATAATATTGGAAATGAGACAAAGGACTGGGGTCTTTATTTTGAGACAAGATTTCATATAGCCCAACTGGCCTCAAACTCTACCAGCGGAAGATGACCTTGAACTCTTCTGTTGTCACCATCAGGTGCTGCCTCCCGGACCTGGATTTGGTTTTTTGAGAAAGGGCTTTGCTACGTAGCCATAGCTAGCCTGGAATTCACTAAATAGACGAGGCTGGCCTGAAACTTGTGACAGTCCCCTGTGTCTTGCCTCTGAGTGTTGAGACTATAGGCAACAGCCACCATGCTTAGCTAGGGTCTAGACTTCAGACAGGTTGTCAGGATTGAGGGGTTCACATTACCATGGGCAGGGATTTAGGGGACACAGATCACGGACTGTGACAGTTTGGAGCCTTGGGGGTCAGTTAATTGTTCTGAAGGATTCTGGGGGTCTTGGTACCTCTAGATTTTATGGTTACAGGATCATGGGTGTCTCATTTTCAGGGATCAGATGTGGGGGGGGGAGCTGGGTTTTCAAAGTCAGTCTGGAATCCTGAAGTGTTGAGAATCAAAGTCTCAGACCACTGTTTCTTGGGGGTCAGAGGTTTCAAAATGGAGGCAAAGGGTCACAGTGTCAAAGCATACCAAGAGCTGTAGGCGACGAAGTAGCCGGTCCAGCCGGGCTTGCAGGGCACCCAGCTCTGGCTCCAGAATCTTCAAGGACGGACCACCTGCCCTGCGCAGCCATTGGACATGCCGGAGGTAGGACATCAAGTCTACTCGAAGCCTTGTCAGCACACCTGGAAGCTGAGGCCCAGGGATGGCAATTAGGGAAGAGCTGGCACATGGACCCCATCCGCCGCCAATTGTTCACCCCTCCCTGCCAAGCAGCTCTCACCTGCAAAGATCCCAACGTCCCAGCACTCATGGCCAAGGTAGGCAGGGAGTCCAGATTGTGGTCTCCGTCAGCTGGGAATTTGTCTCTCTGGTGAGAAAGAAGCTGTGAGGGGAACCCCAGGCTCTCCTGGTCTTCGGGTGCCCAAGAGAGAAAGAAATGACTCTCGTTCTTAACAGCCCCAGCCCTGTCCCTCCAGTAACCTACCATCTGTGCGGCTAGTTGCCGAGTGTCTGCCAGAAGGGATCGGGTCAGGAGGACAGCGCTGTCCAGATCTGCGCGAGGGTCTGAAGAGACTCGAGGGGAGCCAGATGGTGGCCCAGGGGCAATGGCTCTATCTGGCCAGAGGCTCAGCACCACCAGGACCAGGTGACAAACACCTGGGTACAGAAAAAGGGAGAAATCAGACCCAACTCTGGGTCTGAGGGAGTGAAGTGGGGGCTAGATTCCTTCCTCTGAGGAAGAAGGGCTAGAATACAGAACCTGGGTCTGAGTGAGGTAGGCTAGGGTCCAGAATTTTGGTTTTGAAGGAGCAAGACTGAGGTTTGGACTTTACGGTTTGTAGAAGGAGTCTGGATTCTGGGTCTGAGGGAGAAAGGCTGGGACCCAGAAACTTTAAATAAGGAGGTATGGGGTCTGGACTGTTAAGGACTGAGGGAGGAGGGCTGGAGTCTGAACTTCAGGTTCCGAGGGAGGAGAACTGAGGTTTGGACTCCCGGGTCTGAGGAAGGAGGGTTGGAGCCTGAACGCCTGGATCTGAGGGAGGAGGACCTGGAGGTCTTGAGTCTCAGGGTGGGGCGCCCCGGGGCAGGTCGCAAAGCCCGAGCTCGGGCGGGCTTCCCTCTCCCTCCCTGGCTCTGGCTGCCCCGCCCGTCGGAGCAGACGCGGCCCGGGGCGGGTAGACGGGCCGGGCGTCTCCCGTCCGCCCCCGGACGCCGGAATCTGGGCCCCGGGGCGGGGCATGAGGGGGGAGCACAGGCCAGAACCTGCCCCCTCCCCTGCCCAGGGAGCCTGAGCCGGCCTGGGAACAGGGGAAGGAGCCAGAGACTGGAGCTGACACCCGAACACACCGATTCCTCTCCAGGGAGGCGCCCCGGACTCCCTCCCATATGTCCACAAAGGTGGCTGCGGAAGGCTGGGCCGCTGAGTCGGGGAGGACCTGGGCGCACCTGGCCTGAGAGGCGCTCAGGGACGCAGGCAGCTGGAGACCCGGCTGGCCGCGTTGGGGCTCAGGGGCTAGGGACAGCTCCTTTGCCGGCTGCCCATCCCCCAGCTGCTCCGCCCACCTCCGAGCCAGACAGCCAATCAGAGCCCCCCGGGCCTCCAAGCTCCTATATCACACCCCCAGCCCGCCCCCTTGGTCCCCTCTGGCTGTAGCCAGTCCTTCGCAGCCCCTCCTTGGCCGGCCGGCCGTCGGTGCATCCGTCCCCTGGCCGGTGCGCATCTGTCTGGCTCTTTAAGCTCTCTGTCCACACCCCTCTCTCGTCTGCCTCCCCTGCCTGGTCCCTGTCCTCTGGGGCTTGTTGTCATCATCTGGGACTTTCTGCCTCAGTTTCCCTCCCTGAGCTTCGCAGTTGGAGTTTATGATTGTCTCTGTCCCTTGCTTCCCACTGTCTCACCGGGATACCCGGACCCTTCAGAATTGTCTCCCAGGATCTGACCCTGATAATGTCTGTCTGTATCTTCTCTCTTTTACTTGCGTTTTATCTATGTCTCTCTCTGTCCATCTCTTCTCTCAAACTCCCACTTTTCTGACTATTCCTTCTCACTCCATCTGACTCCCCACGACTCCTCTCTTCTGCCGTCTGTCCCTACTTTGCTTCCCACCCTCCCAACCCCCCTCAATCCTTTCCTCCTTCCCCCCCACCCTGTCCCCTCACCCCATGAACTGGAACCAACTTACAGTTCATGTCCCCACAGGCCAGAGGTTCCCCAGGGCAGGGGGCAGGGAGCCGGGGGGCCTTTAACCCTTCCCTGTCCGCTGCCGGGGGATCCCAGGGGGTCAGCTGGGCCTCGGCCTGGGGAGGGGAGGTATGTGAGTGTGAGCAGCAAGGGCCAGGCAGTGAGGGAGTGTGTACGCCTGGGGGGTTATATAGGGGGCCGGGGCGGGCGGGCGGGGGGCAGGCAGCAGGGGAGGGCGGCCTGACACATCCTGACTCACCCTCCCTCCTGCCTTTTCCATTCAGACTAGCCGGCTGCCTAGCAGGGCTCACACCGCCTTGCTCGGAGGAGGGCACGGAAGGAAAAGTTGGAAAAGTTGAAAAGTGAAGGGGGGGTGGTCTGAGAGGGGCCGGTGAGGTCATTGGCGTCCCCTCCCTCCACCTCCAAGGGCTGGGATACACACACACAAGGCTCAAGAGCTCCATGGAGCCTGGGCTGTGGGTGGGGGTCTGGATGGACCCGCACTAGCCCTTCTGGAGAGATGGGGAGACAGGAGGAGAGGCCAGTCAGGGGCCTGAGGAGATGGAGATGAGAGGGAGGGATGAAAACACTGGGACTGAGGTAGCGACTCCAAAACAGAGGGCGACTGACTGACAGATGATGCCCAGAGGTGGGGACTGTAGAACATAGAGGTCTGCAGTCTCTGACATGCAGACACGGGAAACTGAGGCACTGAGGGGTGTGGCTCAGTTGGCAGAATACTTGCTTAGCATGCACAAAGGCCTTGCCTGGTTTTACTCCCAGCACTGGTTGTGATGGTGCACACCTTGTGGTCTCAGCACTTGGGAGGTGGAGGCAGGACGTTCAGGAGTTCAAGGCCATCTGTAGCTATATAGTGAGCCTGAAGCTAGCCTGGGCTACCTGAGACCCTATTTTTAAAAAAGAACCAGAGGGGAAGAGGGACATGGCCCTGGAGAGAAGAAGCCAGCTGCAGAAGAATGTACAAAGCCTACGGAGATGGCAAAACAGGGTGACCAAAGATGGGGTCACCTGAGAGACAGAAGTCAGATGAAATGCCGAGGAGACAAGATGAGAGGGCCAAAAGAAAGAGGCATGGAGGTTCTCTACAGAGGTCTCTGGCCGCGTTGCCACTCCACCAGCCCCCTCCCCCGCTGCCTCAATTCTCTCATCTGTAGATGGGGCTGAGGAGATAGCCAGTGAATAAAAGTGTCTGGTGCACAAACCTGAGTTGAATCCCCCACCAAGACGTGTATCTGCAACACCGTGACTGCGCAGATGGAGACGGCAGGCTCCCTGGGGCTTGCTGTCTTTCAGCCTAGCTCCCAGTTCAGTTGGAGACCCTCTCTCCAGGGCATAAAGTTGAGAGTTGAGCAGGGCACCCACTGTCCCCCAACCCCGGCCGGCCTCTGTGCACTTGCACACAGGTACAACTACCCACCCCCACATACGCACACACCTTCCTATTGCTGAATGCCACTGTGAGAGTGATGTGCAGTGACTACCAGAGAGCCATTGCTGTCTCAGGGTTACAGTTATCAGTCTTCCAGGGACACGGGGAGTCTTCCTGGGAAAGATGGCAAAAGTGAGTGGGCATCCAGAGAAGGGGCCGTATTTGTCTATCCAGGTAAGAGTAGAGCACGCCAGACTGCAGCAATGCCCACACGACCATGTTCAATGGATGACTGACTACCATTGGCTCAGAATTCACAGCCCTTCAAGGGATGGGGCAGAGGAACTCATGCCCAGGAGGAGAATGCGATGGCTCTGAGCACAGGTCAGTGACTTGGACTTCAAAAAAAATAAAAATCTCTGTGCAGACCACCCATGCCTGTCATTTGGGACTAATGCATTGGCTGGAGATTGGGGGGTGGGGGGAAGCTGGCTCTGGGACTGACTGGCAGCCAAAGATTTCCCCTCCCCACCTTCCACCACTAGGGGGAAAAGAACTGCTCAGATCCCCCAGGAGGTGAGGTCACAGCCCCCCATGGTAGGACATGACCTCATCGCCTCAGGTAAGAGCTCTTTCTCTCCCTTTCATGGTCTGTCACACCACCCCTTTGAGGGGCCCCCCAGGGGCCCTCCTCAGCCCCTGCTCCTGCTGGGACCCAGGCTTCTGACCACTGGGTCTCCGCCCCTCAGGGGGCCTGTTTCCGGCTGAGTCAGCGTGGGGGGCCCAAGGCTGCGTCAGTGAGAGGAGAGCTGACGTAGCCCCCCCCCCCCCAGACCATGTGGGCTAGCCAAGGTGACTCAGGCCACCAGCCTGGGGAATGGACTGGCCTGAGGGGATAGGGGACTGGGCTTGCAGCCAGACCTGGACCAATACCAGGGACTGCAAATGCCCGCCCCTTCCCTCAACTGAGGTTCAAGAACTCATACCATCACCTCTTCATCTCCCCTATTCCTCAAACCCTGGGCACACACCCCAGCCTTTTTCCTCAGGCCCAGGGTCCCAGGGGTTTAACCCTCCTGAGAGGGTTAAGCTCAAACATGGTACAGATCCTGTCCCTCCTTTAGATCCAGGGCTCCAGACCCCAGCCCTCCTCCATCAGAGCCAGGGTCATAGGTACCCAACCCTCCTCCATTAGACCCAGAGTGCAAACCCTAGCTAGCTCTCTTCTCTCAGACCCAGGGCTCTAGCCCAGTCTTCCTCCATCAGACCTGGTGTACAGATCCTAACCCTCCTCCGTCAGACCCAGTGTACAGACCCCAGCCCCCCTCCATCAGACCCACTGTATAGACCCCAGCCTCCTCCATCAGACCCTGTGTACAGACCCCAACCCTCCTCCATCAGACCCAGAGAACAGACCCCAGCCTCCTCCCTCAGACCCAGTGTACAGACCCCAGCCC